ATAATGGCTATCCTCCATACTCAAATGTAAGGTTATTAGGTCCCTGTATAATCATGTTCCTAATCTATGTGCACATTTATCTACATATATGTTCTATTAATGTCTCAACCTAATTTCAAATGTCCCTTTCATTCTCTACATAATACATGAATATATATGGAATGATATTTTAATGCAATATAATATTTATGGATGGCTGTCTCTTGGTGGGGGCATCATCTGAGGAAGGTTTATTCACATTCATGGGGTGTTTAGTACGAAGAAAATATTGTTGACTAGAAAATGTTTTTCAAAAATTAAGTGATAGACTTATCATCTATTTTTTTTTTTTATGTTTAGTAAGTAAATAAATAAATGAAATTATTTTACAAATATTTATATATAATTTAGTTAAACGCTTGAGAATGGGAGAGGGGTCGAGAGTGCTACCGGTGCTAACAATGGGAGTAGGGAATGGGGTGGGGTGAAGGGGTCTAGACAACCATCGTGAAATATCATTTATAAAACTTGTTCTAGTTATCTTCAAAAAATAACCTAATTTAAAAAAAATATTTTGACCAATTAAATTCAAAACACACATCCTTGCTATATATTGACATCAAATCAAATTACATTATCATGATTAAATAATAAATCAAGATAAAATACACATTAATTAATTGTAGTTATTTTATATAATAGAAGTGCATGTAAAAAATATTTAGTACTATAATATTTATCATTAATCGGATATAAATATCAAGTGTAAATAATTGAGAAAATGGCCAAAAGACCCCCTTATCTATTACCTAATTCTCAACTACACACTTATACTTTACAGGAGTCCTACTACCCCCTTAAACTATTTTAAAGTGGAATTATTTGCTCCTTGAATGCTGAGGTGGCAAAGAAAATGTAGTTCACTCTCTTTGAGAGAGTGAGAAGTAAAAATAATAATTAAAACTTCAATTTTTAGATTATTTTTTAGTTTATATTGGTTTTCTGTTTTTTTTTTTTTTTTTTTAAAAAAAGTTTCCTTTCAGTTTCAGTTTATTTTTCTTTTTGCCTTTTTTTTCTCTTCACCATAGCAGCATCGACAGAAATTCAACTCCACCACCAAGTCCTTCGTCAACCTCCAACCATTAAGCGGATTTTCATCCTCAAATCACAATTTTTTCACGGTAGATCCATTTGAAAGTTTGACAATAGCTTAAAATTAAAATTAAAATCAAAAGTCAAGAGGATCAAATTTTAGTGTCATTAATGGATCCATTTAGGAACCCTTGAGTGAAATTTATAAGTTTCCTTAGTTATGTTATCCTGACTCAACCACCGTGTTCATCTTTAAAGTTGCTAAGCTCTCAATAATTTCAACCAAAATCCAAAACCCACTTTGAAAAATCAAATCTAAAGTCTCCAACTATTGAAAACTATCACTCTTTTGTGTTCATCACTAAGCTTCAATGCACCCCATTCATTGCATATCCTACCAAACAACATCAAATGATAAAACTTTTTACCATCAATCAATCTTTTTAAATTCTTTTGTTTTATTGAACAAAAATCATGATGAATTTTCAATTGATGTATAGAAGGTTTATGAAGAAAAGTTCACTCAAGGATTTCTAAATTTGAGCTTGCTTTGCTAGTTTGAAAAATAATTTCATCAAAGTAAAGAAAAAAAGAGCAAGAAAGGAAAGAGAAGAAGGGTAATATAAAAGAAAAAGTAAAATGAAGGAAAAATAATTTTTTTTAAATTTTTTAAAAGGTAAATTATGTGGCAAGCGTGTGCCACTTAATTTTTTATACAAATCTGGGCGTGAGTTTTTAAGGGGGTATATATCATACTTTTAAAATGTTCAGGGGGTAATAAGATCCTCGTAAAGTATAAGTGTGTAGTTGAGAATTGGGTAATAGATTAGGGGGGCTTTTGGCTATTTTCTCGTAAATAATTACTCCCTCTGTCCCAATTTATGTGCCATTTTTCGTTTTTTGAGAGTCAAACAGTTTAAGTTTGACCGAGAATTTGCGCATGAAATCTTCAATTTTTTTGAAATGAAATTATATATTTGTAAACTATGTAAAAAGTATTATAAGTCACAATAATTGATAATTGAAAATGTTTAAAAGATCTATAAAAAATTTACGATAAAAAATAGATTTATTTAAATTTCAAAATCTGAAAAGTGTCAAATAAAATGGGATGGAGGGAGTATTTTCTATTTCTGCTCCATCATCCACTTTTCGTTTTAATAAAATAAAATTATTGTCTTACATGGGGGAAAGGAAAAATGGAACTCACACAGTCCAGTGTTAAATAAGTTACCTCATAATAGCAGATTTGCTATGAGTGATAAAATATTAAAACTAAAGTGATTTCTGAAATCTTCTCTGATAAATACCACCAATTATAAACCTTGGTTTTGAAGCTTGCATTTGCTTTGGTGTGTTGTTTTGACTTTGAGTATGTATTTGATGTGCCAGCCACCATTTGTCACAAACACACTTAATAAATGGCCCATGAATCAATTAGTAACCATAAGTCATAGCACCAACTTTTGGCCACTTGTCTGAATTAGTGCAGTGTAGGACACTGAGTCATGAAAGATATACTCAAACCAAAAGACCAAACAAACTACAAAAGTATCATATGGTCCATTCAAGTTTTCCCCTCCACACACTATATATATGTGTAGCACACTTATATTTTCCAGCTTCTTTGCTTTACTTCAAAACTCAAAATGTCATCATTTTAAAGCTAGCGTTTGAATATACATTTAATTGAAACTTGAATATTATTTTCTTCAAGTTTGTTGTAAAATAGGTTTTGGAATTTGAAATTATCTGTGGATATGCATTTTAATTACTTAAATTTTTATTGAAGTTTTGTCAGAAAGTGAACTTTCACCCAAAAACCCAAAAGATGATTTGAACCAATTTTTGAAACCTGGAAACTTCATGAACAACAGTGTTTTAATTCTTTTTCTGAAAATTTGCAAACTTCACGAACAACAATGTTTTAATTCTTTTTCTGAAAATCTATGACCAAATGAGAGTTTAGTCTTTAAACTCTGGATTAAGTAAGCATTTATTTTTGATTAATTAATTTTTCCAATAAGTATTTAAGCACTCGGCCTCATGGGCCACAACCCCATAAGCCAATGGGTGATTTACAAGAATGGCTTAAAAATGAATGGTCTTGAATTATCCATTTTGTTATGAATAAAATTTCAAGGTTAATAAGTTTTGTCTCATGGGAAACACTTTTGATCTTGAATGTTTGTCGACGAAACAAGTGGGGAACTCCTTAAGTTTTGAATGGGCTTAGAAATTCTAGCCCAATTTTTACATTGGGTTGAACCCGTTCTCCAGGCCCAGAAAATCCTTACGGTTTCTCTCCACCAACGGTGACGATGAAGGCAAGAAAAGAAGAGAACAGAAGGCCTTCATTTGTTCTTGCAGTAATTTGGGCTCAATATTAAATGGGCTGTTCCATAACAAATGTACATATGAGCCCAGCACGTCGTCAGCTTCTAAGAAGCTTCCTGATAGAAACGTGTCCAAGTGTGTAAATATTCTATTTTGTAATTACATGTAGATATTAGGTGCACTTATTTTCGGTTAGTTTGCTATAACATAGATCAATAAGGAGGTATCATTGGACAAAGTTATCTGGTACTTATTTTGAGTGCTAGTGAGAAGTGGGAGGTATTCCGTGGAATTAATCGAGGTGCATGAAAGCTGATATGGAAATCACTATCATAAAAAAAAATCAAGAGTCACTACAACAGAAACAACTTTTAGCGGCAATAAATAGACACATTAATAAAAAATGTTAAAGTCTTTACCGCCATTAGTTAAATGTCATTAGATTCAATGTCGCTAAAGCCTTTAGGGACATATACAAAGAATACTAATTGCCGCTAAAAATACATATTTAACGGCAATTGCTAATTAATTGTTGTTAAAGCTCATTTTTGATGTAGTATGAAGTTTTTGAGTCAAGCTCAACCTAATTCATTATTTCATTCAATGTTGGCCTCATCTTATATTGTTAATGTTTCAGATGTTCAATTTTGATATGTGGAGAGTATTGAGTCGTCCCATATCGATGAACATTAGGGTTCTTGGTCCTCCTCTTTATACGATGTTGAATAATTATCCTTTGTGAGTTAGTTCAAAATATCGCTTACAAAGATCTAAACCATTATAAAGGATAAAACAACATCGACTAAACACATTTATTAATGGCAAACCCATTTGTGCAAATGTATGTTTGGTTTTAAAATCGCACGTGCACGCAAGTTGGTGAAGGGAAAAGCATTTTCTTGGGCCAAATAGGTGTGCCAACCCGTCCCCAAGAAACTTTCAATATATTAAAGATTATATAGTTGACATTTACATCTGGCAGTACTTTTCTATAAAACTTAAAATCAGGTCTGACACATATTATATTTAGATTATAATTAATTGAGATCTAATCAGATTTTGCTTATTATTACCAACAAAAAGAGGCTCAAGTAATTGACTAGAGGAAGAGAAACCAAAAAACGGATGTAGATAGTGTGGAGGCATTAAAAAGTACATTAGACCTTTTGTAAATTTGATAAAGACTTGCTCAATATATACTTTGAAATCTTCGGGCGGTGGGTTAAGTACGTGAATTAAATCAACTCAATATTTTATATAAAAGTTAAAAATTTATTAAAATTATACGAAAAACAGTACCAATTTACGATCTTTATCATGTCAACTTAGTCAAAGTTCACATAATTTGACGTTCCACAAGCAAACGTGACAACTAATTTGAACGAAGGGATTAATGTTTAAACAGAACACCACATTTATTAGTACTGTTTGCTTTGCTATCACTATTTTCCTGAAGATGTAACTCAGACATGAAGTAGTTGTATATAAATCATATAATAAAAATCATTCGAGATTTATTTTGCAGATTAAGATATGATAAATTGGACATACTGATACAATTACTGCATTCGAAAAAGAAGAAGAAGGGATTAATCTTCATAAAACATCAAACAACTTGGATTTTTATTTTCTGCCCTTCCATGGAATCCTGTTTTCTTCAGCTATCAGTGTGATAAGGTGGAATGCTTTGTTCATTTCTGAAGAAATTTTTGGGATCCACTTCACTCTTCACTTTAGCCAATCTCTCAAAGTTGCCCTTAAAATACTTTTCACCCCATATTTTAGCCTTGGAATAACTATAGTCCTCTGAATTTGTTCCAAAATCAAGATCCCTATAGTTCAGATAAGCACTTCTTGGTGATTTTGCAACATATGGCTCCATTTTCTTGTACAGTTTCCTCATCCATGTTATCTTCTGGCTTGATATACTCTCGCTGTTATCGCCCCAATTCACCAAGTACTGAATATTATACAAATTCCCCTTTCTATGAGGGAATGGAATTTCAGATTCTGATATTTTATCTAATATCCCACCTAATGGCTCCAATATCATCTGAGGTCTTTCTTCTTCCAAAAACAGTCTTTTTACCATTTCCCAACCACTTTCCGGAATTGGAGTCTTCACAAAATCAGAAGTGGCTTTGAAATAATTCTTCTGTGTTGGAATACTCTTTTCTAGTAGAACTTCAAGTGACTCATTTGTTCTCCTGCCATAGAAATACAGGACTGATCCAATCCAGGACGTTTCGCGACATTCTTTTTTAATGCAAGGCCTGTTACTACAATCCACAACAGGCTCTTGGAAGCAATCTTTTTTCTCCAAATCAAATTCAGGGAATTTTTCTTTGAGTAATGGAATTAACTCATCAACAGGTCCGAGATATAGTGCTTGAAAGATTATTTCAACATACTTTTCATTGTCTGTTCCATCATTTTGTATAATTACTCTGATAAGTAATTTATCAGGTAATTGATGCGCGATGTTTTCCCATTTTTTGAGGAGATTTTGATTACCTTCTAACCTCTTGTAAACAGTGAAAACAGTAACCTTGTCAGGAACACGAACAAGTTTGAGTTTCCATGCTAAAATAACACCAAAACTTGCTCCTCCACCTCCTCTTATTGCCCAAAACAAATCTTCTTTCATTTTGTTTTTATTAAGAATTTTTCCATTTACATCTATTACGCGAGCATCTACAACATTATCAGCTGCAAGCCCGAATTTTCTCATCAAAGTACCTATCCCTCCACCACTAATAATCCCTCCAGTGCCAATACTGAAACAAACACCTCCAGGAAAACCATGCACATTACTTTTTTTAGCAATTGCATAGTAAAGTTGGCCGAGGGTCGCCCCTGCTTGAACCCAAACTGTTCCTTCATTTAAATCAATCTTGATTTTGTTAAGATTGCTTAAATCAAGCATAACAAACGGGGATTTAGAGCGAAAAGATATGCCTTCATAGTCATGGCCACCACTTTTTATTTTAATTTGTATGCCTAATTTTTTTGCACAACGAATAACCGGCTTGATTTGTGATTCTTTTGTAGGGGAAACTATGAAAATGGGATGTGAAGAATTCATCCATCTAGGATTTTTTTGAGCATATTCTAAGATAGATGAATAAGTTGGAGATTTTGGGGTGTAAATGTTATGTGTAACGTTGGTTTCAGAGTATTTAGAAAGACACTGAACAAAATCTTCTTGTTTGGAGTAACATTTTGACAAAAAGAATGAAAAGAGTAAAAGAGAGAGAATTTGAAGGTTACCCATAATTTCTTTTTCTTTTGGAATAGAAATTGATATGTCTATAACCCTTACAAATGATCCATATTTATAGAATTTATTTGTTATAGGGTTTAAGTCGAGTTATCTAAATTTATTCAGCAGTTTACGAAAGCAAATATTTATTAAACAGCTAGACTTTGACTCTAGGCGCATGCAAGTACTACACAGAATTAAAATCCGAGTTCTCAGCTGCCAAGTTTTTTTTTTTTTTTAATATATATTTTAAATTATATATTGTGGGAAGAAATTAGGTCCCAGTTGGATTTTATTACGAGTAATTTAATTTCTATATCTATATGATAGTTGACTCTAGGCACATGGAAGTACTCCACAGAATTAAAATCCGAGTTTTTTTTAAAAAAAATATATAGATTTAAATTATATATTGTGGGAGGAAATTAGGTCCCAGTTGGATTTTATTACGAGTGATTTTTATATATCTATATATATGAAAGTTGCCATGGTTCCCACGTTAGTTGCCATTCCCATGTGTGTAAATATAAATGTGCTCGAAATTATTACTCGTATATTCAAATATTAATGTGCTCGAAATTATTACTCGTATGTTCAAATAAATATTGCAAGAAGATAATTCCTCCATTTATTTTATTTCACCTTTATATTAAAAAAATAGTTCTATTTTTACTCTTCAATTTCAGCAAGCTAAGATGATAGATTTCTTTTCCAATACTATTTATTATTAAATGGACCACGTAAAAATGAAACGGATGGAGTATTTTCATATTTGACGTTTTCTAACGTTATTTAATTAGTCGTGCTATTTATTTGAAGTTTTTAATCTGCAGATTATCTGCAAGACAACTAAGCTTTGTAAAGAACATCGTACCATTCCAACTTATATCTAATAAAAAAAATACGGATAATAATGGCGTCATTTTAATAGTACTCCTATATAATGATAATTAATTTAGAACTGTTTGGTGTTTATCTTAGTTATATTCCATTTCCTAACAATATTTAGGTTGAAGCTCTTTCATTTTTTATTTTTTTTGAGGAGAGTGTAGTGTGTGATGTGTCTCATAAGTCATATGTATAACTGGGGAGCTTTTATCAACTAAAATGAATATTATATTATTATTATTATTTTCAAAAAACAACTGCTCTTCAGTTCCTAGCAGATTTAATTTGTGTCAACTGACAATGGTATGAATGCTCCACTATTTATGCAACCCCTTAAAGTTCATACGATTAATATTCAATATTCAATATGACTGAAACGTTTTTTCCAAACTAGCATTAATTCACTAGGCATAACTTATAGGGTGGGGTTATAAAGAAAAGAAAGACAATGACTTTTAAAGTTCTTAGTACTCGTGAATTGAATATCTTTGATATTATGAATTAGAATCTGATATTTATTGAAATTTTGTAATTTTTCATGTTCATATCTCATAAGTCATAAATATTAAATTCGATCAAAAGCTACCTTGGTCAATGAGGTTCACCGAAAATAAACACTTTATATTAATGCATCAACGAATTACAAATGCTGTATATATTCTAACTCAACATCATGTATGATCCAATTTTGAAAAAAACGTCTCCCAACTAATTGGGAAGAGAGGTGGATAAAACTACGTAGAAAAAGGTACAAATTATTTGCTAAATCATGATTATTCTATTTTTTATATTTTGCGCGATAAACTTTAAAATTATTAGATTAGACATATTTAAGATATCTAATCAATCAATGCAAATTTCAGGTAACTTGTAGAGTAGAAATTGAGAAAATATTTGAAATCAAACTTCTTTTGGGAAGCCTACTAGTGCATCAACCACCCTATAGGGATAGTGCGTGTAAGGAATATGCATAATATCAATATTTTAGTCTATTAAATTAGTTGATTTAAAATTTTGTGAGGAAATGGTTATTAACTTCCAAAAGGGAACTAAGGGCCTTATTTTACTATATGAAATTATAATGGACAAACAACATGTATTCGAAGAATTGACAAAGCATGATACATGTTTAATTAAGTATCGTAATCAACATACTTAATTTAAGAAGGAAATCACTTCTTTAACAATTTATGATTATATCTAGTTTAGCAACTTCTTTAAAAAATAAAAATAAAAACTAATTTATTCCATTTTTTTTTTTTAACAACAAAGTGATTTTTATTTTTAGAAATTCAAATTTATTTCTCTGAATTTCGAGTTTCCTCTTCTAGATACACATATCTGAGATATGTTCCTCTTCCAGATACATGTATCTGAGCTATGTTCTATCTGCGATACGTTCCTCTTTCAGATACACGTATCCAAGATATGTTTTCCAGATACACATATTCGAGATATGTCATTAGCTAGATACAATACAAACGTGTGTCTATTTATATATAGCATAACCAAATTGCTCAATTAGTGGAGTAAATTACTCCTTTAACTGCTTTTGAGAATATGTAGCATAACAACTTCCTAAAAAAAAATCAAAAATCTTGAAATCATTTCGTTCCTTTTTGTGAGAAAAGGATAAAAAAAACAATGTAAATTTCATATTTCTACCAAAATTTAAATAACAATGTGTAATGACCTTCTTGTTGGTCATTTCTGTGTTTTACCTTCTGTGCGTCGTTTAGAGCGTTCCTGTTGCGAGCTTAAGTCAGCTATGACTTGTTGTGACTGACTGTTCGATCACCTGGCCCAATTGGAGGAGTGTTCATATCGAATTTTTGGTAGATCTGACGGAGATCTGTCGGATCTAAGCGCAGCTAGCAATGTCTTTCAAAATATAAACTTATGGATGAAGTTTTACATTTTCTTAATTTTTTTTTGAAATTATGATGTGGAATCCGAATAATCACACTTTCTGATAAAATTGAAATATAAATTATGATTTTAAATTGAACATTCAAATACTAGTTTGAAATCATAATTTTAATTTATGATATGAAATTGCATGTCCAGACACAAGGTAATAGTCAAATTAGGGCTTGATATAGTATTATATTAAATATAAATACTAGTAGTTCTTCAATACGCAATGGAGACTTTCCGTTTGAGTATACTCAATTACTCATTGATGTGTCTTCTTTTGCACAAGTAACGTACGGGATAATTAACCAAAGGCATAAATATGAGATTACTAAATATTAAATTGTAATGTTCTTAAAATGGAAGACAACTTAGGGGTAATATGGGTGCACCCCTACAATGTTAAAGCTTACTTCATAGATTAATGGACCCAGAGTTATAAAATTATAATTCATTAGTTTGTGAAACGAAAGCAAATCTTATACAATTTGCATTAATTAATTAATTAATTATATAAGACACAAAATAAAAATTCTTGTGCACATTGAGCTTCCGGCTAAAATTATTGAAATGTAATTTTAGAATAAAAATACCTTAATTTTGACAACTAATTCATCAAATTTGTAGTCTTTATTTAATATAAATTCATTATACATATCGCTATACATAGATATTCATCGACTTCGATAATCACATTAGTATTTCAACACACGATAACTAAAGCGAACAACAAAGTCAATTGCGTAATATGTATACTATGTTCTAAAGTCCAAGTGGAAGAAATGTCCTATACTAATGAAACACAGATCATTGATCAAAGCATATTTTTGTAGATAATACAAATCTTGCCAGCTGATAACCAGGATGATTCAGATCAGATTTGTATTAATTTGGTTTTTAATGTGCTTTGGGTCAAAGTCGAACTTTTGAATTGAATTAATTTATAAAACTAATATACATTAAAGTCATCTTCATAAATGTCGATTATTTGAAAGGCTACTCACGGCCGAAATTTTCTTCGTCCCTCAATCTTAAAGCGTGAGAACTCAAATTTGTCATTTTTATTTAACCAGAGGTCTCAGTTCGAGTCCTGGTTATAAAGAAAATCGTGTTGAAAGCACCATTCTTGAATGAGTTACAGTGCGCGATCCAAATTTAGTCGAGCCTCTAATGTATGCTCTGAACACCTGGTGAAAAAAAAAGTAGATTACAACAAAAGGTAACTAAGAAAAGTGTTAGTAGTTTTTTTTTGATAAATTATCACTAGTGTTACGACCCGATCTTGAAAACTAAGGTTTCGAAACCAATTTCACAACTTTGTACATGTTTTTTGGAAAAATTTATAATTTGGAAGTCGCCACCTAATTCTTTAGGAAAAATTAAGAAAACCATTTTAAAAGGATTTTTTTTTTGAAAGGAAATAGTTTAAATAAAACCAGAGTCAGGTAAGGGTTCAAATACTTCTCTAAGGAAGGGTTTAGGCATCTTAGAGAATTCGCTAACACACGGTTGACCGACGGATTTAAAAGTTTGGCTAATTTTATAAAATAAAAGAATTACTTATAAAAATCTTGTTTGAAACTTAGATAAATAATCTTTTGATGCTTGTAAAAATCTCAAAAAATAATCCTAACTTGAAACTTTTATCCATAGTCAACTTTTGAGTCATACAATTAATTCAAATTCACCAACATGGATCAAGGGACCTTGTTTAACAACTATGAAAGGATATAGAAAATCCTTAAGTCATTCATACAAAGTCTTAAGTTATTTTAAAAGAGAACTAGTTTAGTTTGAGAAAACTTAACAACTCTATCCTAGTCAAAATTTGAACCAAATAGTTAATTCAAACTCATGAACATGGATTCAAAGCTAATTACTAACTATGAAAGAATATGGATAATTCTCAAGTTAGTCTAAGAGCTTAAGTTGCCTAATCTTGAAAGAGTTTTGAAAACTTGACTACTTAAAAATGAATGAGTAACGAGATAAAAAAAAAAGTCATTAAAAAAAAACCTCCCAAGGATTCATTGAAGTTAAAGAAAAGTCAATAAGAGTTAGCATTCGCAAAAATAATAATGACAAGGAAATAAAAGTAAATAGTGAATTAAATAACTGAAATTTCCAGTCCACACTCGACCATTTTAGGGGGCTAAAATTGTTGTACTGTTGCTTTGACCTTTATGGGTTTTAACCCAATTTTTTGCTCCTCCTTTTAGC